GTGAATACGAAACTTGTCGAAGCATTTTTGAAAATAGGCAAAGGCCACGCCGCCTTAGAAGTGTTTTCCATGATTATGGGAATTCATGCTATGGACAAAAAGACATTTGCTAAATGTTTACACAGTTTGTCTGAAGAAAAGGGGAAACTAAAAGGTGATTTCCTTCAGTTTTCTCGAAATATTGTTCGAAACAAGCATAAAAAAAATTAATTAATATAAATAATGATGAGTGTATAGATGTCACAGTGTCGTATGATGGCACATGGCAAAAACGTGGGCATACATCACTGTATGGAATAGGTATCGTCGTAGATGTCTTGACTGGGTTAGTTATCGACTACGAAATTCTGTCAAAATATTGTCCTGAATGTGTATGCGCGAAAAGAGATATGGATGCTGACAGTGCGGAATTTCATATATGGTTTGAAAGCCACAAACCAGAGTGTTCCAAAAATTTTTCTGGTTCGTCTAATGCTATGGAAATGAAAGCCGCAGAAATTTTATGGAAACGGTCCATCAGTACATGTAATATGCGATATGTTGGGATACTTTCTGATGGGGATGCGAAAACATATCAACATTTATTAACTCTGAATCTTTATGGTAATGACGTAAAAATTAGTAAAGAAGAATGTATCAATCATGTGGCAAAACGTTTAGGGGCAGGATTGCGCAATAAAGTTAAAGAGCTGCGTTCCAGAGGTATATGTATCGGTGGACGAAAAGAAGGTAATCTGAAGGAAACTACAATTTTAAAGTTAACAAACTATTACAGAAAGGCCATAAAAGATAACATACCGGATATAGACAAAATGAAATCTGCAATTTATGCAAGCTTACTACACTGTTCATCTACTGATGTCTCACCAAAACATTCGAAATGTCCCTACCGGTACGTTGTCATGGTGTTTTTATCAACGTGCAGTAGCAAATGAAGAGCAGCCGAAAGCACATAAAGCCATGAAAACTAAAGTATCTGAAAGTGTTCTTTCTCAAATATTGCCAATTTATCAAAGGCTAGCTAGCACAGAATTGCTGTCCAGATGCATTTCTGGTAAAAACACAAATGCTAATGAAAGTATCCATAGTTTAATTTGGAAACAATTGCCCTAAAGAAGTGTTTATTTCTAAAAAAAGGCTAGAAATGTCAGTATTATCAACAATTAATGAATTTAACTTTGGTTGTGTAAATGCCATAAGCGTAGAACAGGAAGAAGTGAACTCGTTTTCCCTTACTCATTGCAAAAAAAAGCGCGATCAGCGTCGCTTGAACCAAAGTAAAAAGAGAAGTTTACCTGCATGGAAAAAACACAGAAATAGTAAAAAATATTGTAAATCACTAAACGATAATGCAATTGTAGCAAATGAAGGTAAAAACATATGGTGCTGGGTGATTTTTAAAAATTTCATTGGGTATACGGCATAAATTGTTTTTACCTGTATAACTTCGAATCACCTAGCAATTTGTCATATGTTTATTTTTGTCATATTTAATATTATGAGATTAAAAATAGTTAAATCTTACAAAAATGTTATCGAATGTTTACAAATTTATATTCAAAGTTAATTTGCTGTTTCTCATGACCATGTATTAAATTTTTTCGCAATTTGTGTGTTTTGAAAATGCTCCATGCGTCTCATTTTTAGTTAAAAATGGATGATATTTGGAAGAAGAAGAAACTATATTGTTATATGTTACAGTAGATCTGTGTATGCATTTTTAGATATGAGGTTATTAAGAAGTTTAAACTTGTGAAAACCTTTAACAAAAGGTGAAATTTTTTCGAAAATTGGGTTTTAAGTTCACAAAAATAGCCTTTAAAAATTTTCTTATCCATCATATTCAATAACGGATACACAAATACTTTTACCAAGCCTTTATAAGTAACATAAAGCAAACATTAGGAAAAAATATTAAAAATTGGAGCGCATGGAGCATTTTAAATTTTTAATTAAAATAATTAATTAATTGCTTTAAAAATTTTTAATTTAAAACAAATTGAAATTTTGAGCATATATTTTGTTTACTGATGCTATAAGATGTACATGTATAAAATTTCTTGTTGAAAAAATGAAAACTTAAAAAAATAATTTTTAAAGTCCACCGTCCCCTTAATATCATTTAAAATGCTATTGCGAACTGTTTTCGCCATTATATCAGTAATTTCATTTTGAATTATCTTTGTTAAATATGATACTTGTCCCTTTTTTAGGTGTTCTAACTGGTACTTAAGAATTGAGCTACGTTTGGCTAGAAGAGTCATTAAATTCAAAAAATTGCCTTGACTAGGCCGAGGACACTTTGTGAACAGACTGCTAGGAGTTTCATCACACCCACGGAAAGAAGGACTGTTGAAAGATACAATACAACATCCATAAATACCTGTAGAATCTCTCTCCATTTTTCTTTTCTCTGTGTGAATTAGTCGCTCAATATCATGATCGATGCCTTGACTTTTTTTCAGTTAATGAATCCTGTAGTACACAATACTGATGTAGCGGCAGAGGCATGTTTCTGGTAAATCTCACAGGGTGTACAAAAATTGCATTTTTTAAGTTTAGAATATATAAGCCAAGATTTGTTAATCTTTTTATTATTTTTTAATGTTCTGTGCTACAATGAAGATATCAGATGTCTTCCACCACGTTCAGTAGAATTAAGGTCTACGTTTTCTGGATGATTTTCGGCTAATAAGACAGCTTGACTGCTTAAGAAAGATTGTTGCTGATCGTTAATTTTTTTTTCTGTTATTGGCTAACTACCTGGATCTGACAAATCAAAGGTTTTTAAGACTTTTTTCTGCTGCCAACACGCACTTAAATGACAAAATACTTTATATCCTAATTTTATGTCCTCTAGATGTTCGTTTGAGGTCGATGAAGAAGGTTGCTCTCTCAGTTGCTGAAATATAATCTGAGGATGATACATGAAGATTCTTCATCTTGGTCATTCAAATTGCAAGAAAAGATCATATCCCTTAGAATATCGCACCATCGAAGTTGTGGCAGGGTCTGACGGTTCGTCTTTTCTGTGAAGACTTTTTTTATTTTAAGCTGCAATTTGTTTTCTCTGTTCGGTCCTTCTTTTACCCTAAATAATATACAACATGTAATTTTATCGCAAAGGTACTCCATAAACTCCTTGGTCTACCTTAAAAAGAAAACTTACCTTAATAAGAAAAGCTAAAAATCGATGTTATTACACTCAGCAGTCTTACGGTCGCGTCGCGGACGCACCCGCTAACTAAATGGTTCCGTCTCACTTAATATGGTGAGGAATACGGGAAGCAGGCATATTAAAAGAAAATGAGAAAACAGAAAAAACCCAAAACTAAAAAAAAACTTTAAAAATTATAAAAATAATAAATCCATTTTTAAAACCTATGTTGCCGACTAGCTGCAAAAAACCAAAACACCTTACTTAATTTCTGTTGTATATTCTCGACGTACATTAATTTGAATTATTTCATTGGTTCAAGGTTAATTTATATTGGGTGTTAGGAAAGAGTTACAATTTACAGTGCTTCCCCATTTATTTCACAAAAAGTGTCGATATGAAAACAAGACCCTCTGTGCTATCGTTCTGTTTCTCGTTTGAATATCTCCGCCTAGAGAGAGAGGGTAACAGAGGGACTCAGACGTCATTTACAGGGACAAAAGACCAAGGAGTTCACGGAGTACCTTTGCAATAAAATTACATGTTGGGTTGGCTTCTGCCAACAGGGTCGTCTGACGTAGTCAGTGACGCCTGGAGTCTCCCTATTGTTCTCTCTCTGATCTTATCTTTAGAATCGTATTCGGCTGTACTTAGCTTACTTTTAACTGTTTGTTCCATTAAAAGGTTTCCGAGTAATTCATTATAAATATTCTTAAAAGAGGTTTTAAACCTGGCTTTAAAGCTACTAATGTTGTATCAAGATTTCACAACATTCCAAATATGATCCAGCGCCACGCTTGAATTTGCCGCCCGGAGCACAGACCCCGGCTTGCCCCCCCCCCCAGATCCGGGACTGAAACATTTCAAACAACGTTTAGTATTCTTTAAAATTTCTAATTTATTTTGTGATGGCATTTTACATTTAAATGAATCATGTAGTGCAGAACAGAAAATGCATGTAGACTGCGTCATATTGAATGTCATTGCTGATGGTGTACTTTTATAAATTCGTTTCACGAAAGTGTTTTGGTTTTGAAGCTTTGCAGTTGAATCACTAGTTTTTCCTGATGGTGTTTGAAATTTTGTTTCGTGTTCATTTGAATATTTGTTGTGTGTCAAAAATAATGTTTTTTTCCCCTCTGCTTTCAAATTCTGTTTTTAGAATAATAATTATTTTCGAGACCTTCCAGTCTTCGTCTATTCCGCATTTTTTAGTGATCTCTAGAATAAATATCTTGCGGTATTAATTTAATCAATATGGAACCATAAGTTCCATAACCATAAGTTTGAAAGTTATCCCAACTCATCTTCTTCTGTTTTATTTTCTAAAATTTTAGTTTCGAATTTAGAAATTTATCTTGTCGTAAGAGATCTAATAAAAGTTCGTTTAGCCTCTGCGATTTCCATTTCGAAATCAATTTTAAGCACTTTAAAATTAACTTGATATCTTAATTTAACTAAACTTCTTTTCTCATTTCGCTTACATAAAGAAGAGGAGTTAGAAGTCATTTGCAATATAAGAGTTGTTCAGTCATCAGTTCAGTCAAAACGGAAGTAATCTGCAATATAAAGATTCATTTCTTAACAAAAAGAGAATGTTAAATCTTACCTTAATTATCTAGATTATTAATCTTACTTGGAAATCCTTAATCCAGAGGTATCCAAAGGTAGCAGCCCATATTTAAGATGTCCTCTATTAGTTAGCAGCATTTCTGCATTACCGTTTTCTTTATTCGACGCACAAGCAGTGCCCTGCCGATGCATCAATATCAAAAAAGATATATTTGATTTCCTGAGAGAAGTATGATCAAACTTAGTACTAATCGAAGCCAGTACTTCAACATTTTATACAAATAATCATTTTATTTACAAAAACAAACTCGTATTTCTTCGGTGGTTCCTTTTACGCCTACATCGTAAACTGAACTAACATTTTTAAGCCGACAAGCGCCCTCGAAAGGCGATACAAAAATCATTTGAGGGATTTTCAACAGAGGTATATTTGTAGCACTCTCAATGACCATCACCATCTTTAGCAAAAAAAAAGACTAGTTGTTAAGTCCGAGGCAGACGAATCAAGTTCTACAGTAGAACGCTTTAGAATTCCTTTTGAAAGCCGTATTTTCATCCTGCAACAATATTTTGAGAATGATGTGACAGCTACCTTTTAATAATAAATAACAAATGGTATATACAGAACATGAAACACAAACATACTATTAATACAATAATTTCTGGGTTTTAAAACTTCGAAAACAGAAGCAATTCAATATATAAACGCTTAAAATAAAGACGTATGACATACAATGACAGTTCGTTTCGAAAGTTTATTTGTGGTTTGTATCTGGTATCCATTTTAATTTATTGGGTATATAACACCACATTGACTTTTTTTAATGTTTACCAACAAGAATTTTTTTAAATATAAACTAAAATTAAATACATGCTTTGCATAAAACATTTACGTTTCTTATACAAATTTATATATTTAATTGTTGTTCATTATTATTTATTATTTCTTATTAAACAGCAATTAACTATTTAAATGTTATTTTTTATTCTTTTCATATAAGCATAATACTAAATATTGAACAGCACATTTTAAGTAAACAATCGCATGTATTCACGATTCTCCATTTTCTATACATACATATACAAAATAGTTTAAACATCTTCAAAAAAGTAGGAAATTTTATTCTTTTCTAAGAGTAATTTTATACGGTGTTAAGTTAGGATTGTTGTATCAATAGATCGCCATAATGGCGGTAGGGGTGTTTGTAAAAGGAACGTGATGTGAATTTGATAGCATCGTTCGTCTTGGTGTTCGTCGAATAAATTGGTAAGAACGCTCCTCTGTTTATTATTTACGCGATATCTGATTATGAGATTTACATTTTGTTTAGGTGCCGCAATCGAATCGGCCAAAAATCGACAGACTGAATATTCGAAAATGGAGGGCGTTCTTGAAAATTTGAAAAAGAAACGTCGGTTTAGAATTAACTACGAAACTGATACCAAAGCGAATCGAATTTAGCAAATAGATTCCGCTAAATGAGAAATTGAGATAATCGAGGATTTATTATGAACAGTTAATTGAGGAATCAATGAACTGAAAAGTTTAGATAGAAATAGAAACGAAGTAATCGAGGAGATTGAAAGAGTAACTCAAGTCAAGATCCATGATAACGTTTATGGAGAGGAAGAATTAAAGATTTTTGAAGAAGATTCGGATTTCTAGACAGTTCTCAGAACGAACGGCTAATGTTGCACTTCAGTTGAAGCGAAAACGTGAGTTGCCCCTCTGCAAATAGGAACTTTTACGGAGTTCGTGTAAATGGTTAGTCTTTGGGAACCAATTCGAAACACATTCATAATCATAGTGGATTGAGAAAACTGAAAATTTGCGTACCTAAAATCCTTACTTGGAGTAAGCTTTAGCTGCCATTTCCGGTTTCGCTTTAAGTGACCATATTATGTTCCGCATAGAATATTGAAAGAACGTTTTGGAAGACAGATGTTGTTATCACCTCGCATAGAATAAATTATTATCCTTGAACCAGTGGGAACATTTCAAATGTAAAGCACTGCGTAAGTTACGATGAATGCGAGTCAACATTCGAAGTTTAGAATCGTTAAACGTTACTTCTGGAAGTTATGGAATATTCTCTGTCCTCATTTTGCAGAAATTCCAGAGGAATTAAATTTGGAATTTAATCGAAGTCGAAATATGGAAGCAGGATTTGAATAAAGGAACTTATAGAATTTTAAAAAGGAAGTTAACTGTCGAGAAGCTGCCAGTTTAATGAACTCTAGAAAACGAATCAGACACCATACTTCGTCAATGAACACCGCACGAAAGTTTATCAATTATAAACGAAAGTTCCGACCGTCAGCTTTCAACAATGGATTAAATGTATATTGGTGACAAAGAAGATCATACGAAATATAAATGTACTAGGTGAACTGATGAAAACGCAACATTTTGAAACGTACAGGAAAATGTTTTAGTGTTTGGATGTAACATTTAGTATCAACTGTAGAACAAAGTTTTCCTGCAAAGGTGCCGCGGTAAACTCATGAAAGTATGTGGTGAATCCCGCATCAGCTGTCTCCAGTGTAAAAAATAAGGAAACCGAAACATCGACGGAAATTGTTCAAAATTCTTCTGCTAAAACAGGTTCTAATATTATACTTCAAACAGTGTATGCTGTGGCATAGGGCAGAAATAAGAATTGTATTGTGAGGTGTCTTCTTGATGGCAGTAGCCAAATCTTTGCAATTCGAGAAGATTTATCAAGAAAATTACAATTACCAGTAAAAGGAGAGACTGTTCTAAATCTGCATACCTTCGGCGAAAAAAATGGGAAGCACTGGCGTCGAAAGAAAGTTGAACTTACGCTCCGAAACATTAATGAACCTGAAAAATGCATTCGAAGCCATTGAATTACCCGTTATAACAAATGCCAATATACAAGTACCAGATGTAGAAATAAAATTCAACCTCCAAGCATTCGGCATCACTTTGACAGACTGCGCCACCGCCGATGGAGTGAGTCATATTTCGGTTTTAATCGACGCGGACATTATTTGGAAAATAGCAAGGGAAAAAATAAAAAGGATAAACAGAAATGCCGTAGTGATGAAAGCCTTGTTTGGGTGGTGTATACAAGGAAAATTTTCCTTCATCAGACTTTGAAATCATGATGCGTGTTAAACTAAGTGTAGAAGAGAAACTTCTAAAAAGTTCGAATCGTTTTGGGATATGAATCATAGAATTAAAAATGTTCTGACGAAGAACAAAATGAATGGCCATGCAAATATTAACAACTCGATTAACAAAAGGGTAAGATACGAAGTTAGACTTCCCTGGAAAGATCAGAATGTGACTTAAGAGACCATTTTAAGAATGCTGAAAGACGATTTTTTGAATCTGATCGAACAATTTAAATCAAACTTGACCTTTTATGTGCAATATAAAGAATGATTGACTATCAGTTTAAGGAAGAAATCATAGAAAAGGTCAATCTTGGTACTCGATTTGGGAGACGGACTTACTATATACCTCACCGTGCTGTCTGTCATTCGTGAAAATCATAATTCTACAAAACTTCGCATTGTTTATGATGCTTTTTCAAAGGAAAAAATCATATCTAAATGATAATTTACTCAAGGACCAAATCTTCTTCTGAACTTTTGAAAGTTTATAAATTTTCGACTTCATCGAATTGCATTACGTCAGATTTGAAAAGCGTTTTACAAATTTCTGTGCACCTGAAGATCGGGATTCAATGCGATTTTTGGGATTGATGAGAATTCAAGTTTGAGCAATCCGAGATTCAAGTTTATCGGATGTGTCTGTATTTTTGGAGCAAATCAAGTCCATTGTGCTGAGAGTTGCATTAAGCATCATATAAGAAATTTGAAGACATCCATCCCAGAACGTAGAAATGTTAGAAAACTCATTATGTGACGATTTTATTTGGGATCAAATACGGGGAGGAAGCTATACAGATATATCATGAAGCCAATGATATAATGAAAAGGATCAATGACTTTGACCAAATGGAATTCTAATTCGGATACTGTAAAAAACCAGTATAAATCAAGTGACACTTCGTTAGCTTTAAATTGCCTGGACTGTGATTCCCCCAAAAGATTCTGGACTTCAATGGGATAAATTAGGATATCTTCTTTTTAATGCACAAGACGTTATGATTTCATCCAGTCAAATGACCAAACAAAACGTTTGTGTTTTAAAGCTGCTTCAAAATCTTCGATCCTGTGGGTTTTACTCCATATGTTATCAAGCAAAAGTTCTGTTCAGGATTTATGGCTGAAAGGTGTTTATTGGGATGGAAATTATCCCACCAGAATTGAAGACAAGTGGAAATGGTATAGGCAACTATGTGATCTACCTAATCCAGATACCTCGGTGGTATTTTCGTGATGTTGATGAAACACCTGAAACATAGAACTACATTGTTTTGTGATTCATCTCAAGTGCTTACGGAGCATCAGTGTACGTGAAATTCCGTAGCTTAAAAATTGTGGAAAAAGTTTAGTGATAGCCAAGAGCAGGGTGCACCCCTGAAAAAATATCTTTTACCAAGACTCGAGCTCATGGCAGCAGTGTTAGGTGCAAGACTTGTAATACAGTCCGTGTGCATTTTCCTCAAGCGAAGATTCATTAGGACAGATTCTCTTATGTGCTTCATTGGATAAAAAAACTCACCGCTGCGATGGAAAAACATTCGTACAAAATCGAGTGTCTGAAATTCAAGACAAACATCCCGAGCATGTGGCATATTGTCCGGCTCAGATAATCCGCCGATAAAATCACACGTGGTGTTAAAGTGAGTGATCTTGTAGTAGATCAAGTGTGGTGGCATGGACCCCATGGCTTCATCAATGAATGAAATAAATTGCTAAAGTGAACGAGCATTGTAACATAGTAGATAGTGCAGAAGAAAGAGTTGTGACTCAATTACTAGCAGTGTTCAACCTTTACAACCGTGTTAAAAATAGAAAACTTTAGTGACTTAGGAAACTTTTAAGAGTCACGTCATATTTATAGATTCATTAATAATTTAAAATCACAGAAGGAGTGATTGTCCTGTGACCAAATGAAATATGTAATGCTATGTGTTATGGATTAATCTTATCAAGGTGAGTATTTTTTTGAAAGTTGAATGATGTTAAATGTAAAAAAACCATTGTCTCATAATCGAAAATTGTTTGGTTAATCCAGTAATGGATGAAAAAGGGTTGTTTAAGAGTTGGAAGTAGATAGTAAAATCATCATTAGATGTCGATGAAATTCACCTTAATATACCAAATAAGTATTTTTCTCGTTAATTATTTTGAATGTCATGAAAGGTACTCATAGTGGTGTAAGAAACTTTAGTGCAAGTAAGAGGGAAATTTTGGATTTTAAAAGCAGACGTTTTGTAAAATCTGTTTACATGATTGTAGATTTGTAAAAAAATAATGCTAAAGCTGGACACGAGATATCGGCTCCTCTCCCTGACCGAGTGGAGAAAGCTCAACCATTTGAGGTAAAGTGGCATAGATTCGCTGGCCCTTGTATTTAAAGGATGGTACAAAAGTGTATATTTAAATGTTTACCTGT